CACTGTATGACCCCCACAGCAATAGCGCTGTATGACCCCCCTACAGCAGCACTGTATGACCCCCACAGCAGTAGCGCTGTATGACCCCCCTACAGCAGTACTGTATGACCCCCACAGCAATAGGCGCTGTATGACCCCCTACAGCAGCACTGTAGGACCCCCCCCCACAGCACACTGTATGGGCCCTCACAGCAATATCTCTTTAGACCCCCCCTTTTCAGCAGCGCTGTATGACCCCCACAGCAGTAGCGCTGTATGACCCCTACAGCAGCACTGTAGGACCCCCCTACAGCAGCACTGTATGACCCTCACAGCAGTCGCGCTATATGACCCCCTTACAGCAGCACTATATGACCCCCACAGCAGTAGCGCTATATGACCTCCCTACAGCAGCGCTGTATGATCCCTCCCCCTACAGCAGCGCTGTATGACCCTCACAGCAGTAGCGCTATATGACCCCTTACAGCAGCACTGTATGACCCCCACAGCAGTAGCGCTATATGACCCCCTTACAGCAGCACTGTATGACCCCCACAGCAGTAGCGCTATATTACCTCCCTACAGCAGCACTGTATGACCCCTCCCCCTACAGCAGCACTGTAGGACCCCCTTACAGCAGCACTGTATGACCCTCACAGCAGTAGCGCTATATGACCCCCTTACAGCAGCACTGTATGACCCCCACAGCAGTAGCGCTATATTACCTCCCTACAGCAGCACTGAATGACCCCCACAGCAGTAGCGCTATATTACCTCCCTACAGCAGCACTGTATGACCCTCACAGCAGTAGCGCTATATTACCTCCCTACAGCAGCACTGTATGACCCCCACAGCAGTAGTGCTATATTACCTCCCTACAGCAGCACTGTATGATATCCCACAACCATTCAGTTGATTTTCAAAGAGCTGAAAATGTTGAAAGTCGTATAAAGCAGGTTGAGAGAAATATAATAGAATTAAGTTTCGTAAAAAAATAGTTTTGAAATTTATGAATATTGCTCTTGGATTATTCATATTGGATTAATTTATAATTAATACAATTTGGGAAGAATTTAAAATATATTCGACAAGTTAAAATTTTAAAGCTTGGGTAGAATATGTGTCCGACAGGTCCTTGACCACATACCTAAATGATGATGTATGTGGTCAACGACATATATGTCGTGCCGAATATGTAAAACTGGTCAATTAGCAAGAACTTATTTAAAATTAAGTCCTTTCTAAAATTTTCTCTTATACGCTTAAAGATATATTTTTTTCATTAATGTTAATGCAAAAATTCTAATTTTGCTCCAAAAGAATTTTAGAAAACTTACCTAACCTTATTATAACAAGAACAATTTATTTTAGCTTAACCCAACTAAATATATTTTAAAATTTGTTTACAGTAATTAAAACTAAACAAACACAGTGAAATATATTTTTTCAATAAGTTCAGATGACTTTTGGGGAAATTATTGCATACACAAATTTTCGCTTGTCCTATATGGCAAAATAACGTTGCTATTTAAGCCAAGATCGCAAGTTCTGCCTATTCGGCACGACATATATATATATATATATATATATATATATATTTTAAATATTATATATATAATATATATATATATATATATATATATATTATATATATATATATAATATATATAATATAATAATATATATATATAAATATATATATTTATATATATATATATATATATATATATTATATATATAATATATATATATATAATATATGAAAATTATGTGCTCGGATTCTGAGTAAAACAAAAATTATTTTTATTTGTAATGTATTAAATATAAATGATACAGTAAGTTCTCGCATCTGGCACTCACATGGCCATCAATAAGAGGAAAGAGAAGTAAGAGGAGCAACGAGGAGCGTCCCGGGAGTCCCTGGCATTATTGTTGATGGTACGTAAAGAAAGCAGTTCTCCAGTCATCTCGGGGCTTCTCCTTCGCGGCAGAGGTTAAAGTTTCAGGGAAAGTCGGTCGCTCTGTCGTGGCATGAAGGTTCTAAGTAAAATCTCATTAGTGAAACTTCTTAGGCGGGGATGTGGCAGGAGCAGGCGGATGGCAGCTTGTAGATGTCGATGAAGAGACCCTTGTAGTGATCGCAGGGGTCAAAGGAGAGGAGGCGGTGGTAGACATATTTCTGGACACAGCTGCTCTTGTAGCAGGGAGCAAGAGCACGGCAGGCAGCATTAGGGTACAAGCAGGTCTCCAGGCGGGCCGTCTGGGTGTAGTAGTGAACATCGTTCACAATAACACGCCACTGGCCCTCCACATTCTGGGCACGCCTGGGCCTGGCATAGGCCACGTGGGAAGGACAGATGTAACCCTGGGGACCAGCCCAGTGGGTGATATCATAGGGAGACTTACCAGTGGAGGCGCCAGTATAATAGGAGTAGTCAAAGCCTTCTTCCTGCTTCTTGGTCACATATTCAACCAGGTCATCAGCCGACTGGTCGGCCACATCAGCGTACTTTTTGGCGAAGAGATGGTCAGCAGTAATTGCATTTTTTATGTCATACTCTGGATATTCTGGATCATCTAAGCAGTAGGGCAAGTGGGAGCCGGCAGCGCAGGATGGAGGTTTTGTTGGGTCACAGTAGGCCGGCTTGTAGGAAGGCTGGGGGCCGTAGGCGGGTGGTGGGCCATAGGAAGGGGTTGGGTAGCTATATGGATGTGGAGGAGGAGGTTCACAAAGAACAACTGCAGCGCACGCCAGAACAACCGACTGAAAAAAAAATGTTGAATTGTTATATTACTTTAAGAATTAAGAGCTTGCCAAATTGCATGCGATGCATTTTCACAAATATGAAGGAAAAATTTCAGTAGGCTACAGAGTTTTATCTTCTTACCAGAGCAAGAGCCATGATAAAGTGATGATGTGAGTCGTACTGCTGCCTACCAGAGCTACACCTCGTCTTATATACCTGTTGTTCCCGACCTCACCTTCAGTGACGCAACTCCACCCAAGAATAACATCTTAACTTTCACTTGATCTATTAAAGGACGTTTAAATTTTACTAGGTTTTTGTTTGATTACTGAAAGATATTAGGGGAATTTAAGCCAATTTTTTTCGAGAAACCGTTCTTGCTGTTAATGAGACGCATTGTTAAGATTTTTTTGAAGATAATTGTCTGAACCTCTAATGGAAATAAGAAATTATTTTCATCTTACAGTTTTCACTCTAATGAATATTATTGTATGTTGCCTTAACACCGGATAATGAAGGAGATAGGGGTAGGACTCCCATACAAAGGGACGTTTCATTAGCATTACGTGGGCGTTTGTATCAATATTATTGATCATGGTGTTACCGGACTGCACTTAACCGGAGTGATGGAGCAGTATGTATCACCATCATATGTAAAGCTCATTGATCATCTTTTGCTGCCCATTTATAACTCCATTTTTGTACCATATGATTATGTTTGTGAAGCTGCAGAAAAATATTCATAACAGCATCAGTATTTTTATAATACGATAAGAGACATTAATAGCTTTCCCCTATTCATATTTTCCCGAGATTGTGTTCTCATCAGTAAAAGACTGAGTCATAGGGTCTCATCTATTTGTCTCAGCTCCTGGGAGTAGATGGGTGAACTCTCTCCTGGCCTCGTTGGCTTTATTATACCTATTCTTAAAGATGTTATGTAGCTGCCTCTTCCACTTCTTCATCCAGGTTATTTCCCTGCATGACCACCCTGAGGCTTATTTGTGTTTTTAACTTTCTAACTCTGCCTTTGAGTGCTACTTTTCCGCCTCTTGAGCATTTTTTTCTTATTCACCCCATCAATTCCTCTGGGTATTTTATACGTCGTTATCATATCTTCGTTATTACATCTAATGTCATTAGGTTCCGTTCATTTAGTCACTTCTCTGTTCTTTCGCCTTCGCTCAAGTACTGGTATAATTTCAATCATTTGCACTTCTTCTAATATACTGAAATGCTTTACCAGATGTGGGCTTCATGTTCCTGCTGTGAACAAGATATACCTGATATTAGCCGTGACTGATGAAATTCCTAAATGCAGGTTTTAAATTAAAAAAAAATCTTTCGCTGCTGAAATTGATTGATTGATGTGCTCCTGAAGCGACATGCTCGGTGATGTGGTCACTTCTTGGTCATTCTCATTGGCTGATGTATATGTCAGTCTAACTTAACCTGATGTAATGAACTCATACCAAATAACTCTATTGTTCGACAACATTTTGTAGATGCATCTCTTTTCATGGTAAATTTGAGCTGTGGCAAGTTTTGCAAAAGCAGTGATTACATGTACATTGAGTACTAGTGTGCTACCGCTGTGATACTGTCATTTATGAACCACAGTTGAAGTTTACAACCGGATTAACCATTAGCTCCGATGAACTTGGTGTAACCTTGGTTCTTGTGGTTCATTACCGGATTTTTCCAGCGTGTTTTAATGAAATATTTAAGGTCACTCTTATTGCAGTGTCTCGTATTTGGTTAAAGTGGTTGGTTCTATATCTTTTTTTATAAACTAAAATTTTGAGAGTGAGTTCCAGCGATGTACCATTACCATTAATACTATGACTGCAGTGAATATTTCAGCAGTTTAATCTATTGTTGTATTTCTTTCATTATAACTGTTCTACTTGAAAGTAATAAATGTTAAAAATATTGAACGATCTCATACCTTCATGTTCTTATTAACATTTAACGCTCAAATTTATATTCATCAATGTCATTTCTTTTACTAAGTGTGATAGTATTTTACTGAACATTTTCCACAGTTCTTGACATTGTTCTGAATAGCATTAATTTTTTGAATCAACGTAAGGGAACTGCACGCACCACAAATGTAGGTATGTTTGTAAACTCATTTTTGTAACTCGACTGAGAAGCTTTCGTCAGTGAATCTTTGTAACTACAACAAACATAATGACTTGAAAACAGGATCCTATATAAAACAAAACAAAAATAAGTTTTGTATTTAATTAAATGTAAATGATACAGTAAGTTCTCGCATCTGGCACTCACATGGCCATCAATAAGAGGAAAGAGAAGTAAGAGGAGCAACGAGGAGCGTCCCGGGAGTCCCTGGCATTATTGTTGATGGTACGTAAAGAAAGCAGTTCTCCAGTCATCTCGGGGCTTCTCCTTCGCGGCAGAGGTTAAAGTTTCAGGGAAAGTCGGTCGCTCTGTCGTGGCATGAAGGTTCTAAGTAAAATCTCATTAGTGAAACTTCTTAGGCGGGGATGTGGCAGGAGCAGGCGGATGGCAGTTTGTAGATGTCGATGAAGAGACCCTTGTAGTGATCGCAGGGGTCAAAGGAGAGGAGGCGGTGGTAGACATATTTCTGGACACAGCTGCTCTTGTAGCAGGGAGCAAGAGCACGGCAGGCAGCATTAGGGTACAAGCAGGTCTCCAGGCGGGCCGTCTGGGTGTAGTAGTGAACATCGTTCACAATAACACGCCACTGGCCCTCCACATTCTGGGCACGCCTGGGCCTGGCATAGGCCACGTGGGAAGGACAGATGTAACCCTGGGGACCAGCCCAGTGGGTGGCATCATAGGGAGACTTACCAGTGGAGGCACCAGTATAATAAGAGTAGTCAAAGCCTTCTTCCTGCTTCTTGGTCACATATTCAACCAGGTCATCAGCCGACTGGTCGGCCACATCAGCGTATTTCTTGGCGAAGAGATGGTCAGCAGTAATGGCATTTTTTATGTCATACTCTGGATATTCTGGATCATCTAAGCAGTAGGGCAAGTGGGAGCCGGCAGCGCAGGATGGAGGTTTTGTTGGGTCACAGTAGGCCGGCTTGTAGGAAGGCTGGGGGCCGTAGGCGGGTGGTGGGCCATAGGAAGGGGTTGGGTAGCTATATGGATGTGGAGGAGGAGGTTCACAAAGAACAACTGCAGCGCACGCCAGAACAACCGACTGAAAAAGAAAATTTTGCATTGTCATATCTATCTGAAAAGATTTCATTATACTTAATAAACTAATGCAATATGAATTAGTCAGTAGTGATGAGGAAAGTTATATGCGTAGAATTACAGAGAATGGCGTATTTTCTTTTTCATGAAAGACAACCACAGAATATTGAGTTAGTACCAGAGCACGAGCCATGATGAAGTGTTGATGTGAGAGTCGTACTGCTGCCTTCCGTCTCCACACATCATCTTATATACCTGCCACGCTGACGTCTTCTGGTCTAGTGACGCAACCACACACCATGTTTCTGGCTTTCACACGCTCTCTGTATACTGTAGATGGGATGATCACAGTGTGAACAATTTATCTGATAACCAAATGATCCTCATTTCAGTTACCCTGTGTCAATTAAATATAATTAATGTTTAACCATATTTTAGCTAACTGAATCGAGAGTTCCTTAAGGTTTGTTGCAAGGTATCGATGCCTTGCAACAGTTATTTAGTGAATGACGAGTAGTTGACATTTTGGAAATGTACACTGTAGTACGTACGTAATTTGTACATATAGACTTGATAAAATCCTGTTTAGGACTTCATCAAGATCTATTATAAATGAACTTACTCTCCTATGTGTATTTTTTTGCACACTCCTTTATCACTGTTTTGTATTAAGTTCAATCTGTAACCAAAGGAGATTTACCAAGATAAAAGTGTCATCATCAAGGACAGTTATCTGGAGACATTGTCCTGTTTCCTGATGAATAGATCACCACCACCACCATCACCACCACCACCACACCCATCATCACCACCACAACCACCATCACCACCACCACCACCATCACCACCATCACCACCATCACCCATCATCACCACCACACCACCACCCACCACACCACCACATCACCACCACCATCATCACCACACCACCACACCATCATCACCACCACCACCACAACCATTATCATCCACCACCACCATACCATCACACCACCACCACCACCACCACCACAACCATCATTACCACTACATCATCACCACCACCATCACCACCACCACCATCACCACCACCATCACCACCACCATACCATCACCACCATCACCACCATCACCCTGACAAAACAAGATGTATGACTGGAATTTTCATGAATTACGATGTATATACTAACTCTGTATTCTAGGGCTATAATATAAATTATTTTTCGGACATACAAAAGTCCATACATCCCTGGTTAAAATAAATCCCGTTTTAGTAATCAAAATAACAGGAAAATTCTCGTTTTTCAAAGTCTAAATAAATACCTTAACTTTTTAGGGCATTATTATTATTATTATTATTATTATTATTATTATTATTATTATTATTATTATTATTATTATTATTATTATTATTATTATTATTAGACAAAATCTGAATGGTTTACTTACTTGGGAACTAATTATAAATATTTTACACTCGATAGTGTACTGCTGTCATAGTTATTATTTTCATGGAACTAAGCCGAAGGTCATGAAGTGCCGCTCTGTACGATTCATGTTTTTTTAATCACGTTGTTGACATGTACGAAAGAGATTAGTCTTGTAATGGTATTTGATAATAACGGCATCTGCATTTACTTTCACGTCGTGAAGGAGGTGCGTAAATCGTCGCTATACAGTAACAGGTAGCCACACCCATGTATATACTACACTAGATTCCGTGACTCTCGCGTATATACACGAAAGGTGCTGTGTCTCACGTATACCTGATGGTGTCTGTCTCTCAGCGTATATACCGAGAGTGTCTGTCTCTGTATACACACTGAAGGTGTCCGTGACTCTCAGCGTATATACACTGAAAGGTGTCTGTGTCTCTCAGCGTATATACACTGAATGGTGTCTGTCTCTCAGCGTATATACACTGAGAGGTCTCTGTGTCTCTCAGCGTATACACACTGAATGGTGTCTGTGTCTCTCAGCGAATATATACTGAGAGGTGTCTGTGTCTCTCAATGTATATACACTGAGAGGTCTCTGTGTCTCCTAGCATATATACGCTGAGTTTTAATCTAATCATTAATTTTTTTTTAGGGATGCAGGTATTCTTGGTTGGTGATAAACAGTGACAGGCATCCTTCATTAATTGACCCAGTTCTTGCGTTCACATGGTTTTGATGTCAGGGGTCGAGCTGCAGCTCCTGCTTACCCTCTTACTCACGATTTTACAGATTTCTGTCGTTTTGGGCATCCTCGTACCTGTCTGTGTATACTTTTTAAGTTGGTTCTTAAATTTCTTATTGTAGATCATTATACTTCCTAACCACCTTGGCGCTGAAGAAAAAAATACTGATAACTCGATGGCACATTCCTTGATCCTATGCTGTGTGTGTACTCACCTAGTTGTGGTTGCAGGGATCGATTCATAGCTCCTGGCCCCGCCTCTTCACTGGTCGCTACTGGGTCACTGTGTGTGTGTGTGTGTGTACTCACCTAGTTGTACTCACCTAGTTGAGGTTGCAGGGGTCGAGTCCGAGCTCCTGGCCCCGCCTCTTCACTGATCGCTACTAGGTCACTCTCCCTGAACCGTGAGCTTTATCATACCTCTGCTTAAAGCTATGTATGGAGCCTGCCTCCACTACATCGCTTTCCAAACTATTCCACTTACTGACTACTCTGCGGCTGAAGAAATACTTCCTAACATCCCTGTGATTCATCTGTGTCTTCAACTTCCAACTGTGTCCAATCTCTGGAACATCCTGTCTTTGTCCACCTTGTCAGTTTCTCTCATTATTTTGCATGTCGTTATCATGTCCCCCCCATCTCTCCTGTCCTCCAGTGTCGTCAGGTTGATTTCCCTTAACCTCTCCTCGTAGGACATACCTCTTAGCTCTGGGACTAGTCTTGTTGCAAACCTTTGCACTTTCTCTAGTTTCTTTACGTGCTTGGCTAGGTGTGGGTTCCAAACTGGTGCCGCATACTCCAATATGGGCCTAACGTACAAGGTGTACAGGCTCCTGAACGATTCCTTATTAAGATGTCGGAATGCTGTTCTGAGGTTTGCTAGGCGCCCATATGCTGCAGCCGTTATTTGGTTGATGTGCTCTTCAGGAGATGTGCCTGGTGTTATACTCACCCCAAGATATTTTTCCTTAAGTAAGGTTTGTAGTCTCTGGCCCCCTAGACTGTACTCCGCTGCGGTCTTCTTTGCCCTTCCCCAATCTTCATGACTTTGCACTTGATGAGACTGAACTCCAGGAGCCAATTGCTGGACCAGGTCTGCAGCCTGTCCAGATCCCTTTGTAGTTCTGCCTGGTCTTCGATCGAGTGAATTCTTCTCATCAACTTCACGTCATCTGCAAACAGGGACACCTCAGAGTCTATTCCTTCCGTCATGTCATTCACAAATACCAGAAACAGCACTGGTCCTAGGACTGACCCCTGTGGGACCCCGCTGGTCACAGGTACCCACTCTGACACCTCGCCACGTACCATGACTCGCTGCTGTCTTCCTGACAAGTATTCCCTGATCCATTGTAGTGCCTTCTCTGTTATCCCTGCTTAGTCTTCCAGTTTTTGCACCAATCTCTTGTGTGGAACTGTGTCAAACGCCTTCTTGCAGTCCAAAAATATGCAATCCACCCATCCCTCTGTCTCTTGTCTTATTGCTGTCACCATGTCATAGAACTCCAGTAGGTTTGTGACACAGGATTTCCCGTCCCTGAAACCATGTTGGCTGCTGTTGATGAGATCATTCCTTTCTAGGTATTCCACCACTCTTCTCCTGATAATCTTCTCCATGATTTTGCATGCTATACATGTCAGTGACACTGGTCTGTAGTTTAGTGCTTCATGTCTGTCTCCTTTTTTAAAGATTGGGACTACATTTGCTGTCTTCCATGCCTCAGACAATCTCCCTGTTTCGATAGATGTATTGAATATTGTTGTTAGGGGTACACATAGCGCCTCTGCTCCCTCTCTCAGGACCCATGGGGAGATGTTATCTGGCCCCATTGCCTTCGAGGTATCTAGCTCACTCAGAAGCCTCTTCACTTCTTCCTCGGCTGTGTGCACTGTGTCCAGCACATGGTGGTGTGCCCCACATCTCCATCTTTCTGGAGCCCCTTCTGTCTCCTCTGTGAACACTTCTTTGATCTCTTGTTGAGTTCCTCACATACTTCACGGTCATTTCTTGTTGTCTCTCCTCCTTCCTTCCTTAGCCTGATTACCTGGTCCTTGACTGTTGTTTTCCTCCTGATGTGGCTGTATAACAGTTTCGGGTCAGATTTGGCTATCGCTGTTATGTCGTTTTCATATTGTCTTTGGGCCTCCTTTCTTATCTGTGCATATTCGTTTCTGGCTCTATGACTGCTCTCCTTATTCTCCTGGGTCCTTTGCCTTCTATATTTCTTCCATTCCCTAGCACACTTGGTTTTTGCCTCCATGCACATTTGGGTGAACCATGGGCTCATCCTGGCTTTTTCATTATTCCTGTTACCCTTGGGTACAAACCTCTCCTCAGCCTCCTTGCATATTGTTGCTACATATTCCATCATCTCATTAACTGGCTTCCCTGTCAGTTCTCTGTCCTACTGAACCCCGTTCAGGAAGTTCCTCATTCCCGTGTAGTCCCGTTTCTTGTAGTTTGGCTTCATTCGTCCTGGCCTTCCTGCTTTTCCCTCCACTTGTAGCTCTACTGTGTATTCGAAGCTTAAATCCACATGATCGCTGGCCCCAAGGGGTCTTTCGTATGTGATGTCCTCGATATCTGCACTACTCAAGGTGAATACTAAGTCCAGCCTTGCTGGTTCATCCTCTCCTCTCTCTCTTGTAGTGTCTCTTACGTGTTGGTACATGAAGTTTTCCAGTACCACCTCCATCATCTTAGCCCTCCATGTACCTTGGCCCCCATGCGGCTCCAAGTTCTCCCAATCGATCTCCTTGTGTTTAAAGTCACCCATGATCAGGAGCTTTGCCCTGCATGCATGAGCTCTTCTGGCCACTGCAGCCAGTGTGTCAACCATCGCTCTATTGCTGTCGTCGTACTCTTGCCTTGGCCTCCTGCTGTTCTGTGGTGGGTTATACATCACTACTATTACCACCTTGGGACCTCCAGAGTGAAGCATTCCCGCTATGTAATCACTTTCTTCTCCGCTGTCTCCTCTCTCCAGCTAATCAAAATTCCATCGGTTTTTGATCAGCAATGCCACTCCTCCACCCCCCCTGTGTGTGTGTGTGTGTGTGTACTCACCTAGTTGTACTCACCTAGTTGAGGTTGCAGGGGTCGAGTCCGAGCTCCTGGCCCCGCCTCTTCACTGA